ACTTTTGTATGTGTATCATTTGTTACTTTGTATCGTAAAATACATTGTATTTGTATCACTATAACTGGAATGCCCTAAAGGAGCCAGAGAGGCTATATTTATTCGGCTTATGCTTTCAGAGAGTCTCACCCATCAGAGCATGGTCAGGGAAACAGACTTGCTCCGTCCTTGGTCCTGTGAGCCTGCAATCTTCTGTTCATGAGCTGGTGAACTGCAAGCAGTAGCCAGCTATAACTCTCAAGGGCTCCCCACAGAGACCTGCTTCTGGAATGACCAGACTATCTCCAGACAATACCAGCAGCCAGAGGATACTCAAAACATGAGCCTGGGAGCAGCACTGCAGATTCAAACCCTGACACCATCGCTGTGTTTGGGAGTTAAACTCTCAGTTTCCACGTGTTGATGAGGGCGCGCAGTATTTCTCTTCTTGTGCCTGGCATGTTTCACTCAATATAATGCTTCTCGGGTTCTTCCAAGTCACAGATAACAGGGCCACAGACCCCCTCTCCTTCTCTTCCACTCCTTTTATGCCTGCTCCATCAGAGCCGCACACCAAATGCTCAAAACCCCTGCTTTTGTTTGTTCTAAGGGATTTTTACCCTTTCTTATCACTTGATATTTCTTTAGGATCTAACAGTATTCTGATCAAGATTGACAAAGAGGAGGGTTTTTTTTTTTCTAGCTATGCGGAGAATTTTATAGATTTGAAGAAAAGAAATGGTGCCCCTATTGAGAATACATTCCTACACTGTGGTAGCATGAAATAAGCCTCGGAAATGAACTCATTATGATAAAAATCTTCCTTCCACTTTCCTTCCCACAGAAACTATAGTCTTGACCAGACAGCGTGATTGCTAACTGCGTCTTACTCACACCCTTGAGGGGTAGGGGCAAGTCTGGTTGATGAGACTCTAGGCCATCTGTTTAAAAACTAGCAAGTGGGGTCATTCTCCGCGCTCCTTGCTCATGTTCTGCTTCTGACTGCTGTTACCTTTGACCATTTGTGCCTGGTATCCATGGGGAAATGCAGATGTCTAGAGGAAATCACAAGACTCCTTGGGCCATTGTCTTCAAGGGTTGTGTCATTTTCTTCTTTAAAAGTGGCTATTTCTTTTCCTTTGGGAACTTACGACATGCCCAGGATTCTGCCCCTGTGATTTTACTGAACTTTCACTAGAAGCTTTCAAATGCACTCTGTAATTTTTTTTTTTTTTAACCAGAGAGAAAACTAAGGCTGATGGAGTCTGGTGGTAAGCAGCAAGGCCAGAGGCTCCTGAGTTGAGCCTCTCTGACTCCAGAATTAGTATATATAACCACTGTCCTCTCTCAGAGAGCAAAGAAAACTCAGCTAAGACCCTCCCATCCCAGAGGCACACAGCTCTGGTCATGGGAGGCTGAATGGAGAAACTGACTTCCCTTTGAGCACTGGATCAGAATTTGGACCCAACCTTGAACACATGCAGTCTTTGGTGATAAGCAATGACATCTCCTGCCCTGGGTCCTGGGTCACTTGCTGGAGTTTTCTCCATCCTGGCCCTGGTCTGCTCCCTTTCAGGTCCTTTTTGCAGTGTGTTCCTTCCAGAAAGCCGGCAGGAAGTTCAAAGGCAGAGTGAGGCTCAGTTGGTCTTTTGTTGGTCCATGTTGTTGGAGAGAGAAAGTTCTCTTGAACCAACCAGTATTGGGAAGTAGGGGGCGGCTCTGCTAACAGCACACGGTACACAGTTCAGAGTTTCAGGGAACTGTGAAATAGAGGCGGCAACTATGCCCCTGTCGACATTAAAAGAGAAATCACAGCAAGCCAAGCATTGCCAATTTAACGGCTTTGAGATTCTAGAATCAAGTGGCAGCCTAGACCAAAACTGGTTGAGAAGGTCCTACCCCAGCACATGAAAAGTTCTATTTATAGACAGAGAATCGGAAGTGACGGGGAAGAGAAGAGGTCAGGAACAGACACCGCTCTCATTGGTTAAAATTCTCATCTGTTTTATTTGAACAGGGTTTGGACTGTTGGCTGTTTGGGGATAACTGAGCCTCTGGTACTTATTACAAAGTAGGTTAGGTTTTCCACTAACACATCAAGATAGGTTAAATTTCATCAAGTACAAGATATTTCTAGGCCAAACATAAACAGTGTCTAGAGATAGCATGAGGTTAAGCCATTCAATTTAACAGGGGTTAGGAAACAGTCCCGAATGAGGGCCGGCTAGATGCTGGCTATCAGCTGTGCAAATGAAAAAGGCCCCAGTTGTTCCTGAAGTAAATATGATGGATCTGAAAGTCAGAGAACAGAGGTTACACCAGAAATAATTAAAATTTTCTCTGCCTAGAAATAGCTCGCAGCACATCGTTCCACAGAGCCTGCTCATTCCAAGCAAACAAACTCAACAGCCGGCTCCACGACTGTGAGCATTTGTTTTTAAGTACAAGTGTAAATAAAGACCTATAGGAAAATGAAACTCGATCCCTAATTTCTCATTGTGCTCTAAACCCAGTCCCAAGGAGCTCAAGGCCCAACATGAGACCTAGCTTCCTTCAGTCACCACAGGAAAAAGCAGGAGCACTTTTCCTTCGATTTATAGACACAGGTAGAACTTTATAGCACAGGACATAAGAGGGATGGTCAACAAACTGGATCTTAGGATCTTAGAAGAAAACTTCTGTACAGCGAAGAAAAGCGAAGCAGATCAATAGCCCACAGAATGGGAGGAAAACTCCTGCCAACTACTCACTGACAGATGACCGAGTTTCCTGAAAATACAAAGAACTCGAAAATTAAACTTTAAGAAAACAAATAGCCCGATTAAGAAGTAGCCTACAGAACTGAACAGGAAATTTTCAAGAGATATGCAAATGGGTAGGAAAGACTTTAAAATATGATCAACATCCTTAACCTACTTGAAACCAACTTGAAAGATTCTCCCCAGTCCAGTCAGAACAGCCGTTGTCGGGAACACACATAACAACAGACGCTGGTGTGAAGGTGACAGGCTGTCCCTCATATACTAGTGCAGCCACTTTGGAAATCAGTCTGGAAATCTCTCAAAAACTAGAGACAGCAGCGCCCCATGGTCCAGCCATACCACTCCTGTGCCTGTGTTCAGAGGACTTTACAACCTGGTCCAGAGACATTTGCACGTCCATGGTTATTGCTGCTCTGTTCACAATGGCTAGAAAATGGACTCAACTAAGATCTATCACTAGATGAGGGGATTAAAAAAAATTGTCCGTATACACAATGGAGTGTGCCCAGTGCTAAAGAAAAAAATGAAATAATAAAATTTACTCTGGAAAACAATGACAAAAGATATTGCAAGCCTAGATACAAGTGCCACCTTCTCTCTTAGGCTTCGGATCTTGTTTTAGGTGTCACTGCCCTCCCTGAAGCACTGGCTGTCATTGTTGTGACCGTGGTCAGAATTCATGTCTTGACTTTGTATGGAGAGATCCTCACTGGAGCAACCGTGCTGGTTTCTCATTCCATCTCAACATTTATTCCTTTACCTCACTGGGCTTAAACTGAGGAGAGCGGCTGTTGCTTCTCAGTAGAACAGACGCAGCAACTGACCTTATTGTGCTGGCTTCTGGTCAGGTAGGAAAGGAGAAGGTGGCTGTACAAAGCGTCTAACATCGGGGCCTGGTGGCTAAAGGCTTTAATAATCTTGACATCTGTCTTACCGGGTGGCTCTAACTCAGACGATTTCGCTAATCAGCCATGAAGAAGGCCTGTGGGTTTATAGAGAAAACCCAGCAGCAGGCATAGCAGAGAGTTCACTTAGTCACGTGAGCATCAGGCTCCTTGCAGTTCTTATGTGGGAAACTGACACTCAGTTTTGATCACTCAAGTTCCTATGCGTCATTCAGGTGACTCGGAATTGAGGTGAGGAAAACAGGGACACCACAACACGCTTTCTACAAATGATTGATTTAAATGTAAATCCTGTATCAGTGCTAGGCTGCAGGGTTTGGGAAAGAGGCAATCTTCCACTCCACAATCTTTTTCCCAGTGTCCACCATGGCGCTGTCAGTAAATATTTGAAGAATAAATACATAATTTGCCTTGGGATCGTCACCCTTAGCGTCGTCCCTTGGCATTCGCCTTCACTCACAATTGGTTGGGATCGGGCCTTCCGAATTGAACAGGTAGGTGAGGGACAAGAGGCACACTCTGCCTCATTCTTCTTGGCCCTCTATCCCAGCACTTCCTGTCCCTGTGGGACTCCAGATGCCTGCTGAAGCCAGCCTGTCCTTTCCGCTATGGTTCTCTGTTCTCCCTAGTCACAGTTCATAGGGGGGAGAGCGGGAGTCGGAAGATGGTTGGTTATACAGGGGTCTATTAACTTCCTGTTTGCTCACAGCGCTTCAAACCCTATGATAGAAAATTTATGTTTTATTGATTTGTATCAAAAAAAAGAGAATAGTAGTAACAGAATTTAGAGTTGGGTTTGCCTTCTAAATAGTACCCAGAAACTCACAGCTAGCCTCCTAAATGAAGGTAACCCTGGGCCTTTCCCTGTCCCCCCCCTCAGAGGACTCCATTAACTGAGAATGGACTGTTTTCTTCCTGTCCCCCGCACGGAAGAATAATGTTAAGTGCAGGACATTTGTGAATCTTCAGGGTGAGACCCCAGCAGTGACCTTGTCCACGTGTGAATCTTGGCGTGAGCGTGGTTCAGTAGGTCATTCCCTTTGTAGGGGACTCAGGCCAAGCACATGGTGTGCTTTTGAACATAAACTTGAGAACCCTTTTCAATGAGAAAAAGAATCCAATTCTGGAAGGTGGGTAATAGCCCAGTGGTCACTATCGTTATCTGTCTTGTTCCTCTTGTAGAACCAGCCTTGGCTGCAGGAATCCCATTGGTCAGCTGAAAGCTCAGATTCTGAGTGGGAATGCATGGCTAAGCTCTCATCCAGGGCTGATGAAGCACCTCTGTGTGTCATTTTGCTTTCCTATTGGCCAGGAGATAGCTCTGTCTTAGTGATAACTCATTTCCTATCTCCAGGCATCCTCACTCTCAGCTGGAATCCATCAAGATGACCATGAATTCTCAATTTGACACGAACGATCTAGACTCACCTGGGGAATGACCTCTAAGCCGGCCTGTGAGAGAGTTTCTTGACTGCGCGAATTGAGATGAGAAGACTTGTCCTCTGATGTTGGCTCCATTTCCCAGGTGAGCGATCGCTATAAAATGAAGAAAATATATAGAACACTAGCATGTGTCCATTTATTTCTCTCTCTGAGTGGGAACTTAATGTGGACAGCTGCTTTAAGCTCCTAATGTCTTATTTCCCCCTCTTGATGGACTGTGCCTTAAACTGTGAGTTGAAATAAGTCCCTTTGTGGTATGAATGAAAATGGCCCCCATAGGCTCATATGGAGTGGCACTATTACACAATGTGGCTTTGTTGGAGGACCTGTGTCACTGGGAGTGGGGGGCTTTGAGGTTTCAGATGCTCAAGGCAGGCCCAGTGGCTCATTCTCTTCCTACCGTTCTAGATGTAGAACCCTCAGCCCCCTCTCCAGCACCATGTCTGCCTGTGTGTCGCCATGTTTCCCTCCACTGATGATAAATGAACTGAACCTCTCGACTGTAAGCCAGACCCCAGGAAATGTATTTCTTGATAAGAGTTGCTGTGGGTCTGGAGAGATGGCCCAGAGGATAAGAGCATTGGCTACTCTGCCAGAGGTCCTGAGTTCAATTCCCAGCAACCACATGGTGCCTCGTAACTGTCTGGAATGAGATATGATGCCCTCTTCTGGTGTGCAGGCATGTATGTAGACAGAACAGAGTATACATAATAAATTATAAAATTTTAAAAAGAGAGAGTTGCAGTGGTCATGGTGTTCCTTCACAGCAGTAGAAACCCTAACCAAGGCACCCTTAAGCTGCTTTTGACAGCATCTTACAGCCACGGGGAAAGAGACGAAGACAAGATTAAACAATCACAGCATGGCTAATCAAACAATGACAGCACGGCTAATCAAACTAGGAGAGCATGGTTACAACACAGCCTGGGCTTCCACACGGCTGGCATGTGTGTATCAGACCATGTGCATGTTAGGAATAATGACTGAGCTACCTATAATAAATGATAACTCAAGTGAAACGTAGCACAGGCTACAAGACAGCATGGAGAGAGAGAGAGAGAGAGAGAGAGAGAGAGAGAGAGAGAGAGAGAGAGAGAGAGAGAGAGTTCAAGTCATGGTCATGAGCAACTTAGAATATAGCTTTGATTATGACGGGGAAACTTCCACTTTTTCTAAAGCTCTGAGTATCTTCTTTTGTGGATTCAGACTCTCATTATTATGTCTGTGTAAGTATATGCACTTTTAATTAAACCTCGAGGAGTTTTTGTTTCTTCCTCTCCAACAGGTTGTTGTCAGTTATAAGTAAGTCTTTAAGTTTATATATATATATATGTATATATGTATATATATATTAGCATTGCTATATGTTAGCAAGTACGTATTCTGAAAATGCCTCCCATCGAGGTCTCTGAAACCCCAAGCCTTATCCTGTGATGGACTGTAACAATCAGCAAGACCAAGTGGCAGAGATGCTGCAGAGGTGTAGAAAGGGATAGGAAGACTGTAAGGAGGAAGAAGAAACAAGGATAGAGATGGAGGGAGAAGACTTCAAAGCATCTCGGCATTTGTAAATGGTATGAAAGCGAATGCTTGGTGTTTGCACTGTGATCTGGCTTCTCCTTCCCCTTCAAACAATGGGAGAACTGTTTCTCCTCTGGGGATGCGCTCTACTTGCCCTTCTAGGTGGTGCTGAGCAAGACAGACACTAAGTCCCTGAGCACAAGCGCGAGTTTTTCAAAGTTCTTATCATTCCCCATGCTCGCTCACTTTGTCTATACTTACTCTCCCTCCCTCTCCCCCTCTCACAGTTCTTTACATTTTGATGTGCTGAGCATGGACCACACCTACCAGTTTCCATAGCTTCTTACAGAGCATCCGATGCAGAAGAGGCCGTGTTGGATGGTCCATCTATGATGGGTCTGCAGTGTGGAGGATCAGGACTCTTATCTCCACTCTGAACCCCACTGGAAAATAGGCCATCAGGATCTCCCCTCTCGCCCCCTGCCGCCACCTTACCTCAGCTTCTGTTCATGGATTATCTACTGCTCCCTGTCCCCGGTGGGGAGCTCATCTGTTTCGGGCAACAGGCTGAGAAGCCACTCCGATACCCCGGAGCCTTGTTTTCATAGTTCTACTGCAGGACACTGGACTCAATTTAATTCGAAAATAATACAGTAAGATGAAAGGAAATCCCTGTTGAGCTGCTCATTTTAAAAACGAGTTTGAAAAATAGATAGAATGAGCCTGAGACCCAGACCTCAGAGAAGACCCTCTGTCGGACGGAGGCAGAGGAGGCCAGATGTTTTCCTCATCTGTGTCGTTGCTCCTCTGGCATGGGGCAAGGGGAGGGGAAGAGCACAGCGGACAGAGGGCGAGCCAGCCTGTTGATGCTGCCCTCTCATTTAGCTCATGGAAATTTCATAGCATCTAAGGCCTAACGCTCCCCTTGGATTTGAGGGGAAACCACCTATAACCCACTTGAACTAGTTTCATGGAAGGAATTTCGTTACTGTGCAAATTTTCCCCCAAGATTAATTGGACTTGACATCCTGAATGTCTTTTGCATGATGTACTAAGGTGGTGTTTTTGAAAAATGTCGGTATCCGATACTTAGTGTGTGGTTTTTAGATGTCCAAAAGTATTCCCTCTTCTCAAATTGCCTTTAAGAAGCTGGGCTGCCATACACGGCTGGGTTTTCTTTATTTCAGATGGATCCCCACCTTGCTATAACAGTACCAAATATTCTCCCAATCAACAATCCGTCATGATGGGGGGAAAAATACTGAATGATATCCAGAGCACCTGGCTTGGATTCAACACCAACCTTTCTGTAATTTACGGGAAATTAGAATCCCAGGCCAGCTTTACATTGAATGGACAGTGTGCGCTACCATCTGGTGGATGAAACACAAATAACACGGAAGGTCTCTGCTGGCTGGCTGCGCTAAGGACACTACTCCACCTTGGTTTCTAGGCATGCAGGATGGCCTGGCTACACAAGTTGGAACTCTGTCCACCACTGGGGTGTGATTAAGCAAGCATACCGAGAAAATTTTGGAACACAAATAACAGAAACATATTTCCTCAGGTCCATCTTGTCTCTGTCCCCCTGCCAGGTTTTACGATTTTTTTTAATTGCAAGACTAAATTATGGATTCTGGCCTCTTGTGTTGAGCACATAGTTTGCTAAGTGGTGGTGGCAGGGTTAGGATTACACAGTGTTCTGTGAAGTTCCGTGCCAGGAGAAATGAGCTTATTACCCCAGCACACACGCATACACACACACACACACACACACACACACACGCACACGCACGCACACACGCATGCCTGCGCACACTATTGTCTAGGTGCCAATGGAATGATCTCCGAGAATGTGGAAGCATGAGTATTGTTATCGCAGAATACAAAAAGTAGAGGAGATGGTATCATAGCCTCTCGGGGAAGGCGGGGACGCTCACGTTTATTCAACCCAATCACTCCTCTAGTGTTTGAACCACTTTTAAAACAGCCAGTGACTCTTCCAATATTTTATTTCTAATGCATAAGCAAATTCCAGTAATGGTAACCATGTTGAAGACAGGAACAGGAGATTTCTAGTGCAAATTCCTAGGATGTCTATCTTTGGTTGACATACATTTTTCCTGTGATGAAAAGATGGAGCTGGTCTTGCGTAGTTTCCTTAGTTACAGAAATGAATGATGTATAATATCTTTATTACTTCCCACGGTGATGGTTCTAGGTTGAGAAGTTTTATTTGTTCAAGTTTTGTGATGATGGGGATCAAAATTGGGGACTCATTCCTGCTGAGAGCTCTACTATAGGGTTTCCCCTGTTTCAAAGATCATAGGGTCATTCCTTTTTAGTACACACACACACACACACACACACACACTCACACACTCACACCTATTGCAACATTGTACATGCAAGAGAAGGCTGTTTCCAAAGAACTGGATTCCTTTCACTTCCCTATCAATAATGAAGAACTGAAGTTTTGCAAAGAGAAAAATCCTAAAATTAGGGTAGTTGTAACAAAGACTGCACAAGCAGCACAAAAACAGGCATTTTTCCCCTGATGCAGATGCTGGGAAGAATGGGAGAAAACAGGAACTTTATCTACCATATTGGACTATTCCTGGCTTCTCCTGGTTCTGTTCTTTTTTTAGTTTCTTAAACATCCTCCTATTGAATCTTTCAATCATTTTACCATGTCTTATGGCCAAAAGATGAATATGGCCTATGACAAAAAAGGCCATCAGCCTATAAGATATGAGGAAATTTTCAAAAAAGAGATGAATACAAACTCTACCTTTATTGACTTTAGAACCAGCAGTGCTAATGCATACCAGAATCAGCTAGCAAAATCAGCATCATCCAGCTCTGATGGGAAGACCCGATCGGACGCGGTATTTCTGATTTCAATACATCTGTATATGAATGATGTATATTTGGATGCCCGTGTCACTGCTTTAATCATAATATATGTTATGCAGATCTGAAAAGTCTTTGTGACATCCTTCAAGTTTTAGGATAACGCCAAAGTATTCTCGTCTCTTCAAGAACTTCTCTCTAAAGGCAACAGCTTCAGATCTAGAATATTTGTGTACAAGACTTTTCTCTTCTCTTCTTTCCTTTCTTTTCTCTTCTTATTTTATGTAGGGCCTAGAATATGCTAGAGTGCTGGACGAGTTCTCCAACCCTGGGTTGTCTCTCCAGTCTTTCACTCTAGCCTAGAGAATGCCCCTGGTGGCTAGAATAAAGGGATGAGCCTCTGATTGATCAATGAGCTGAGATAAAACACCCATCACCTGCGGATCAGAATCCTGACGTCTAGGCAGATGAGTCACAGGTACAAGGTCACAGACAAACAAGCATCCTCCTGGGACCATAAAACTGTCGCTCTGCCTGCCACCCCATTCCTCTTGGTCTCACCATTTATAGCACAATCCTTCTGGTTTTCGAAATATATCATTGCCTCTCCATCATGTAGAAGCCGCCGGATGCCAACACAGCCTGTCCTTCCGCCACTGCTGCTCTCTGAGCTTTTCTGTTTCCTGATCACACAGTTCTGTAGGAAGCTCGTTGTGCACGGAGCGCAGGAGAGCGGACAGTGGGGTTCAGTACTTGTTCTCTCATTTAACTAACCACAAAAAAAACCCAGAACTGATGCACAAGCAAATTACTAAAGCCAGTAACTTATCCGCGAAGAAATGCACAGGCCCATTGTTTCAGCCCATTAATGACCAGAAGCCTCGTAAACTCAGGTCTGCCGAAGCCAACAGCCAATGTGTATAATTGAAAAAAGGTCACCAACAATCCTGGATAGTAAATTACCCTTATTTGATTCCTTTGTCCTTCCAACTCTACAGCTAACATAGTAGTTCACAGGGAAGCCATGCCGAGGAGGCAAACTCTGAGAGGGCATCCTTATTAGACACCAGAAAGAGGCCGCTGAGATTGGAGACATTGGTTGTCTACTTAGACTCCATGGCTATGTAGACTGTCATGTGGAGAGGAAGCTATGGCTGTCTGCTTCCCTGGCAGTCCAGCGGGCTCCCCGGCCTGTTTTTAATGGGTAAGTTGGCAGGAAGAGCTTGGCCACATAGCGTCTGCTTAGGTATTCTGAGAATCTTCTCAATTTGCTCCTACAAATGCCACCTACCTTGTTTTGTTGGGTAGCTTGT